AAAAAAGCAACACGATTAATAAAATTGATTACTGTAATAGAATCTATTTACTATTAAACATAAAACCTGTAATAATCAGTATAGACCCATAATATTGATTGCCTGCATAATACCCATATTTCAAACCTTAAAAATTACACAGCAAACTTTATATTACTAAACATCTTTTAATTAATAAAATATATAACTGACGTATAGTCTGAGTTTGTAGTTATCATAAAATATCTTACAAATGAAACTCTCTTGTTATAAGAAAATGGCAACATGATTAATAAATTGATCACTATAAAACCTGTGATAACCAGTATAAACCTGTAATATAATTGCCTGTATAATGCCTATATTTGCCAAACCTTAAAAATTACTGTATTTATTATTATCGGATGTGGGTACCCAGGTATTTACTTATCTCGATCATATATTGTACTATATATACCATACTCATATACCCTGGGTATTCACCATCTAGCTCTTAAAACTAGTAGAGGGTATATGCTTTAAATTACTAAGCATCTTTTAATTGATATAAATATATAATCGTGAAATCATATAGTCTGGGTTTGTAGCTATTATAAAATATCTTGCAAATAAAACTCTCTTCTTGTTATAAGAAAAGAGCAACATGATTAATAAATTGATCACATCTATTGACTATAAAATCTGTGATAACTAGTATATGTAGACCTGTAATATTGATTGCCTATATAATACTGTATTTGCCAAATCTTAAAAATTATGTGACAAACTTTAAATTACTATGCATCTCTTAATTTATGTAAATCAAATTAAATATATAACTAACTGTGAAATCATATAGTCTGGACTTGTGGTCTAGAGCTAAAGTTTGGCAAAAGAAATCAGAAGTCTTCTCAGACTACAACACCAGGATCTGACTTTTTAAGACCAGACCAGACGAACCACTTAACATCCCAGAGAAATATACATGTATTGTTATTAATTGGGTACAATAATGCTTTGTTCAGGGAGTTGTATTAAGATATAGTGTGAGGTAATGATATGTTCATTCTGCATACAAATTCACTATTGTTATTATGATCTCTACATAATTGATATCTCAAGTGAAGTTAAAATAAGATAACCCCCTGTTAGCACTCCATACATACACTATTGAATTAAATATACTGTATAAATTACTGTTAACAATTATACCGTTGACTACTGTATACAGTATCCCCCAAAAATAACACCCTTCATGTATATATGTGTGCCTAAATTTCCTATCTTAATAAAAAGTAATTATAGTATTTAGGCAGCCGAAATTATTTATATATATTGCTGAAATTAATTTTCATATATTGCCAAAATTATTGCTAAAATTTTTTGAACTCTTTTCATGAAAATACATCATATAATATAGTTATTTCGAAGAATTTTATATTAAAAATTTTTAGCAATGCCGAAATGTTTGCCAAAAAATCATTTTACTGCTACTACTGTAAGTAAGAAGCTAAATCTCTAATATAAAGTTCTTGCACTTTTACTGCTACTATAGCATCTAATTTTTCACCAATATATGATTTTTTAAAAATAATTTAGATACCCATATTCACTATCCACATCATCCTGTTTCTTGAATAAGACTATGTTGATTTACTACTTTTAATATTTTCCCAAATATAGTACTCAGTTCTTCACACAGTATCTACAGATACTATTCAACTTAGAAATAGTAATCTTGAATAAGCCCCAGGTATTGGGGTAGTAAGACAGCCAAAAGGAACCTGTTATTAAGTTTTAGCCCTTAAAATCTAATTATAATTGTATTTATGCACGTATATATATATCTAGCAAGTAATCAAGAGCACTTATATATAAACTTCCAATTATCAATTTCAGGAATTTAACAATTCCTTAACACTTTAATATATATATATACATTATTGTCAGTAATTTGGTTTTGTGTATTTGTATGCATGGTTTGTAACATTCGTCAGTGCTAATATTAAAAATAAAGATGCTAATATGTAGATCTTTGTTTGTATTTGTTATATTTGTATGTTATATAAATATCATGATATCCACAATGAATTTTAAAAGGTATTTAACCTGAATATAATCACTTATCATATGTGTGGTTAAAATGTTATCGTCTTTATACAAAATTAAAACATGTTTTTCGTGTCAAAAATGTCTTTTTTGCCAAAAATCTCTGTGAATATGATACAACGAAAAAAAACCTTCCTGCAATAAAATTCATAACCTTTATAGTCAAGTTTATAATCCTAAAACAACACCTTTAAATCAAGAATTGTTTCTTAGAAAATATAATAGACTTTGGTATTATGATTGCAACTTTAAAAAAAATTTAATATAAGCTTTTGTAATACTTGTTATAGCAGTTTTACATGTTTCAAAGAAGATCCAGATCCAGAATATTCTCCAACCGATAATGACCATGATGATAATTATTTAACAACCTCTGATTTACCAAACAATGATCTTGATTCTTCAACTAACTAACCAAATAATAAAAGTTTAGAATTAAAGTAAAAGCCATTATTAAGATCAATAATTCTATACTGTTAGCAAGAAAATAGTTTATATTTTATTCAGATACATTTGATACATTTCATTATGATCTTACTAAACATACTTGTGCATCTTAAAAATAAGAAAATTGATAACTATGATCTTGAAATTTTATACAAGATAAATGGGCGTAGCCAGCTGATGGCATTAGACGATGAAAATGATTTCAATTCATTCATTATTGAGAGTAAAAATCTAAGTTCAAATAAAATAATGGTGATATATATTACATTAAAATCTAATAAGTGAAAAGCTGAGGTATATAATTTTATATTATAATAATTTACTTATTTTATATTAATATAATATTAATTATATATTTATAGAAATCTGTTGAAGATAGTGATTCTGAGAAGAGAAAAAACCAAAAAATAAAAAAATAAAGGCAAACTATGTGCTAAAAGAGTCGAGTCTTTCTTCAGATGAAATTAAATTAGCCAAGATTATTTTTTAGATCAAATCAAAATATGAATATAATACCCATAATATGCCTTGTTATATTGAAGACCAAAACCATCTCTAACTAACACCTCCACTTTATATATTTATAGACACAGGATGTAGTTAGTATTAACATTTATAAGATGATAAATTAGAAAATTTGATAATAAAAGTTTAAATTTGGAAACCAAATAATGGATTTAGTAAATTCGAAACTTGGATATTCTATAGAATAGGTGCTAAACTCCACCAAATGTCACATGAATATATTAAAAAATTAATAATTACTAATCATCGACAAAGCTTATTTCTTATATTGCTTATCTATTCTATAGAACATCTCATAATAGTATGTACAATACATGTAAATACATGTAATAAATATATATTATATTAATAAATATATATTGATATATATTACAGAATGCCAGAGGTGCAACAGTAGAAGTTCCACCTTCCTACCCTGTATTCGGAATGGCTTATGCCATTAAAGTCAATAAACAATTGAATATTTCACAACCAATATCTTCAATTTCTGATTTAGTTTCAACCCTTCATGAGTTTTTTTGAAAAACTAAACAAAGCTTATGATGATAGTATCGATAATTATTTAAAATTGGAAGTGGTATTTGCAAGAGAAAAACTAACCATAAATGGTATTAAAGATTTAAACAACGAATATCTAAAAGAAGAACTAGGGGTTACAAAACACAGATGGCTAATAAATATTAAACAAGCTGCAAGCAAATATTAATATAGTACTGTAAGTTATATATATATATTATAATGTTTTTATATATATTTCTAGGATTTTATAAATTTGTAATTAAATTTTAGCACAAATTTTTATGTAGGGTTAATATTTGTGTTAAAATAAGGGTTTCAAAAGAGTTTGGGGATATAGAACAATTTTATTTAGAGCATCACATAATAATTAATTAGCCTGTTATGCATTTTATATTAAATAAAATAAATTGTTATCATTATGGTTTAAGAAAAAAAAACCTAAAGTCTTTAATATCTAACCCCAAACACCAACCATAATAACTATATAGGGCAATATTTTTCTGAGTATCATACCCTATGAGAAATTTTCTATTTTTTATTTTGGATTGTATCACTAGTATGTAAATATGCTCTGCATATTAGGTAATAACCTTAATTTTATAGCCTGGTCAATAATGAGAACAAATAGAAATTAGTTAATATAACTAAATATAATAATTTTGATATAACGATAATAAAAAACTTACTCTAAATAACCTGATCTATGAAAAAAAATTGCTGCTATTTCGGGTGTGATTTGTGCACATCTACCCTAAATATATAAAATGGGTCTGTAGTAGTATTCATAAAATCCTTATTCCTCTGGACCCAGCTTTTTACAGTACTAAAAGCTGTTTCAATTGGTTAAAGTCCAGAGAATAGGGTGGTAAAAAAATTATATAGCCCCCAGTTCTTTCACTATTTCAACAAAATTTACATTTTGATGAATTGTTGCATTATCAAGAACAATAACGCTATTTCTTTCCGGGAAGATATTCATCATTGGAACCTATTATTAAATATATTTAATTTAAATTAAGCATCCAACTATTACGTACTAATTCATATATATTATTAATTTTAATCACATGGCCATTTATCATCAAAATCCTTTAACTTACCACTTGGGTTAAAATAAATTCACAGAACTGCTCTTTATCACAACTTTCTTCCATAATATCAACTGCTAAAAAACTATCAAGTGAAAGAGCAGGTGGGATTGTATACCTTTTGCCACGAATAAAAACAGTCTTTTTGTACGCACAAACATTTATAGGCGCATAGCTATAACATCTATTTAGACTACAATTATCTTTTGCAGCTTCGTCTATGAAAATTAATTGGTCTGGGCAATAATTCACCCAATTTTGGCAAAAAAAGCACTTCTTAAAAGCTCATTTCTTTCAGAGACCATCTTGTGTAGCTAATTAAAAAATCAAATACTACTATAATTTCTATAACTCTTAACATTAATTGCTATTATTGCTAGTAATGATATATTTTTTACCTTTTTATAGGAGATACCACAATATTGTAATGAATGCCATATAGTTGAGATGGAAACCTATTTTTGTGTATAGTTTTCTATCTCAACTACAAGCTCATCAAGATATAGGTCTATATTTTCCCTTTAAGAGGCCTAGTTCTTTGCGTGTGAAAGCTTTTTGGTACCCAGGTTGCTCTTTAAAGAGTTTTATAATACTTTCTTACTTTTGAAAAGTACTTAATGTTCGATATATAGTAGATTCACTTATATAAAGAATTTTGGCAATTTCTTCGTTGCTATGACCATCTGCATTCATAAAAACAATTCGCAATTTTAGATTCTCACTATATTTTCTGTGGCATATTATTTAGAAAGTATATAACTTGAAAATGAGTATATATCGAAATTGTAAAAAAAATTAAGATTTGCAATTAAAAAATTTATTGTATTTAGAATGACTCTGTACTGATATTGCTTTTATATTTTATCTAAAACTAGAATAAAATTTTTTTATTCAAATTGAATACAATTACAATTATAATATTTGTTAATAAGGTTCCTTAAAAATGTTAATGTTCTTTAAAAATGTTAATGTTTCTTAAAATAGTAATATTTCTTAAAATAACAATGTTCTTAACTATTAAAATAATGTTTAAAATGTTAATACTCCTTAAAAATGTCAATATTCAACAGTAACTCCTTTGAAAAGATAATTGTATTTGTAGGACCTACCCCAGTAAACTAAATTTCAGGGTCTCAATTCAATGATAATAGCAATAATCACACCTGTTCTTTTACTATATAGTTATAAAATTGGTTATATAGTCAGACCTCCCTCAGTGCACCTCTTGGGACTATAGAAAAAAAAATAAAAAGAGTGCACTTAATGAGGATATGCATTTAAAAAGAGCAAATTATATAGAACTCTTATAAGCTAGGACCAGACTATACCGTGCATCTAGAGAGAATTTACATAATTCGTGCACTTAGAGAAGTGCACTTAGGAAAGTCTGACTGTATACTTTTAAGTTATTTATGAAAAATTTTATTTATTCACTAATATTATTTTTTTTCAAATACTATTTAAGCTACAGATAATATCAAACAGTTGGAAGAAATTTTAGATGAAAGATATACAGTCGACTCTGAATATAATAAATCTCTAAATCCTAGATCCTAATCTAACTACTAAAAAAAATGCACTCTAAAATTTTATATTAAAATAATTAAAATTTTTAGCTTTAGTTGTGACAATAATCATAGTTTGAAATGATATTCTCAATGAGAATTTATATCTTCATTATTACTTTTAATTAGAAATGTTAACAATCTGGTTTGGTTTAGTTCTGGTCTGGTTCAGTCTGGTCAATTTTGGTCCAAGTCTAGTCTAGTCTATTATTCTTCTGTTTTAAGACTTTGCTAATCTAGACTAGTCCAAACCGACCTAGTCTTAAGACTTAGAGCAGACCAATTTTTTTTAGGTCCAGACTGGTCTTAAGACTAACTGTATCTATTAGTCTAAGACCAGACCATATAACACCCCTACTTTTAATATGATTAATTCCTTAAATAGTTCTTCGCACAGAACCATGAGTACTATTCAATTTATTAATGGAGTTATTAAATAAGACTCTGGGTATTGTAGACAGTAGCAAATGATAATAACTATCATGGGCCGTGAGATATCAGCAAAGCTTTGTATACAAAATATTAATGATTAATCTACCATGATCTTGGTGGTAATCAAGGGATTAGGTTATTAATAGGATATGACAAATCTAACTAAATCAAAGACTGGTTTACAGATGTTGAAATTTGTATAACTGGATAGTAATCATATGTATTTCAAATATCAATGCTCTGTAAAACCTATACTTCGTATCTCAAGAAAGATTACTTTTCACAAAGTGACATTATTAAACTTCACAAATTACTCTATTATACTTAGACTTTTATTATCAATAAAGAACTTCACAACTTACTATGAATGTGACTCAATATTTCTCGCATTTGGTAATATTTTTTCTTATACTCTTTGCCACTGCATATAATACTCTGGGTCTTATTCAAGAACCCTATTGTTTATTTGTGAAGACTAGTTATTTTTTACTTGTTGATTAGGTATTAATATTTACTACATTATTTTAAACAGATTGCCATTCATGATAATTACAAAGCAGTTATGTTTCGTGTACTTCAACTCGAAAAGTTTTTTTTTAATTGTGTGGGTATTATTATTTAATTTTTTTAAATATACGAAAAAAATTTAGAATGATTAATTAATAAAATTTTTTCCTATTTAAAGCATATAGTTATTATTCTTGTTATTATCATTATTATTTTTATACTTATCTTTGATATTATTACCATTATCATTTTTATTGTTATCTTTATTATAAATTAAATAAACCTATTAGAGCGAAATAGTTCAAAATGAAGATTTGATTTCAAATACTGCTAAGCCTCCCAGTCAAAATCAATTAGCCCTGTCAAATCTGATAAAAAATTAATCTACCAAGTCTGCTCCTACTATATAAATCTAATAGTTTCCAAACCTGATAACTTTTCAATACTAATTCAAAACCTGCATATCAGTTTTGGGAGGTTTGACAATATACTCAATTACTCAGGATTAAGTATATAGAAATAAATATAGTATACAAATAAATTTGGATTTGCTGGTGAAAATTGGTAAATATATAAATAATAAGATATTTGCAAAATTCTCAATGGTAATTAGATGTCGCAAAGTAAAAACTTGGATTCTTGTTTTTCAAAAATTTTACAAGCAACCAGATCCCCAATAAACTATAATAAATTCTATTTGATGAATCATGTGTGATGAATCTTTCAAACTTGTTCTTATTAAAATGATCGATATCAAACCAATTATCTCAAAGTGATACATATTTAGAAAAACAAAATAGAATACTAAAATGAAAAAATGCAACTTGCCATTATTGAAAAGCTCAACATGATCTATTACTGCTTAAGCAAAATGAATCAACAAAGCTATTTTTAGAGCTTTATATTTAATTGATATAATGCATACATTATCTGCCTTTAAAATACAAAAACTATTAAAATAAAAAATTCAATTAGTTTTGATTTTTTGCATTTATAATATCCAAATTAATTTAATTAAGTTTGCAACACTAGTGATGCCAAGGGAAAACCTGCCTCTGATCATATAATCAGAGTTGGGTTTTCCCTTAGCATTATCTAAAAACTGTACATACGTGCCTACCCATTGTTAATGAATATCAATCCTTTCAATACTATGAATATCAGTAAATTATTATTGAATTCTAATGTTAAGGATTCAATATTTTTGAAAACCTGAGCGAATGAATCAAGTAAATGATATATGTGTTAATTAATTAAGGATATGTTTTCTTATACTTATACTCTAATAATTTAACAGAGACATTTTCAAAATATTTGTCAGATGCATATTTTAAAATCACCAATGATAATTTAATAATAAATAATACTTACTGGCTAATATTCTTTGAGGATTGAACCTTACAGTGTTACAAGAATTGATGCCGAATTTATGTATGAGTTGAATAGCTGCTTCTTCATTACAAATATTACATACCAAGAGAAGAGCTATTAATAAGCAGTTTTGGCCAACCAGAATCTGCATCTCCAGATTTTTTTCTTTTCAGCAAAGTGGCATGGCAACAGTTTTTTCACTGATATTTATTTTATTTCCACTT